CGATGAAGAAATTATAAAAAAAACTGCCTTTCATTTTATTTTATGGCTATGCCTATCAAGTAATGAGCTTTCATACTGTCTGGAAAAAATAAAAAGCTCATTATTAAATCCCATCCAGACACTGGACTTATCAGAGCAACAAAATCTGACCGCTACCTCTTCAAGCCCGCTCCAGGCAATGTATAAAAATGTATTAATAAAAACTGTACTATTTAATTCTTTTAACTGCTTCACTACTTGTTTACAAATGGAATTCTGATCCGTTATCTGATGCTGGACGTCCTCACGGACCTCCAGCATCAGATTTTCCCCATAGGAAAGCATTGAATAATGCGTTCATACTATGGAGAGGTTTAATGCGTGCGTGGTCATTGCCGCGCATGCTCATTAAGTCTCCCCCTGCCGATATCAGCGAGGAGCGTGGGCGGAGCCTGACCCAGCACCGAGGGGCATCGGCTCTGGATTCAGGTAAGTGGCTGAAGGCTTTAACGGTTTGTTTTCCTGGCACTATAGGATCCCTTTAAGAGTATTGTTGACTTCTCTAGAAGACAGTAACCCTAACCAAGGGGGCATCGGGGGAGAGGGGGTGGCTTGCATTCTGTGTGAATACTGTGTGATATACTGCACATATCACCACCTGAAGCATGTTCCATTAACAGGGGCGAGAGTGACCTATATATTGAGTCATCCAGAACATATTGAACAAATATTCAGTCAAAACAACATAAAGCTTTTTGGAAAAATAACTCCAAGCTATAAAGCCAAAAGCATAAACCTGAAGACTCTGTGTGGCATTCAGTATTTGTCAGGTGGCCATTGGGAGCTCTGGTGCAGTTCATGGCACAAACAGTACCACATTTGCTGGGACCCATGCATGGTTAATAGGTGGTGCAGGTGTGACAGGGGTCCATGAGGCCAAGAGCAGAGTAGTGTAGGTACCTTAGCCCCTGAAGTAAAGCTTGTGTACAGTTCCATTGTGTGTGATAAGGAGGGATTTTCAAAAGTGAGTCTTGAAATAAGAGTGGATTCTTACCTCTCAGTGCCGCTATGATGTGGCCTATATCTCGAGACAAGGAGCACTGGAGGATGCAGCGGTGCATCGTTGAGAAGCGTTGGTAGATCTATTCAAAGCCATCCTGCAAAGGAGCTGTTCAAGATCTGTAAGTGCCGGCAGGGCCGGATTAACAATGGGGCTGATGGCCAGTGCCAGTATTGCAGTAAAACCGGCAATAGAAATGCCGGCATATTTCTATCTATAAACAGAGATTACTCTGCAATACCTGCGCCAGCCAGTAGGGGCCACTGTGTGTGGAGAGAGGCAGGGATAGGTAGTTACAGCATATCCCTGCCTCTCTCTACACACTGATCCATGGGGGAGCAGCTACACAGCACAGAGAGTCCAAACAGCAGCTCCCAGCCTGCGGAGACAACCTACAGCTCAGGGAAGTGAGGGATGGGGTAAAGGCTTCAGGGAGACATGGGGACACTAGGGAACACTGGGTGACCTGGGAACACTGAGACACTTGGGGACACTGAGAAACCTGAGGACACTGGGAGACACTGTGTCCCTAGCGTGTGTCCCCATGTCTCCTAATGTCCCTAAGTCTCTCAGTGTCCCTAGTGTCTCAGTGTCCGCATGTCTCCCACTGTCCCTATGTCTTAGTGTCTCCCAGTGTCCCCTAGTGTCAAATGTCTCACAGTGTTGGCATGTCTCTTAAGTGTCCCATAGTGTCCAAGTGACACTGGGCAACATGGGGACACGAGGGGACACTGAGAGACATGGGGCACTGAGACACATGGGGCACTGAAACATTGTGATACATTGGGACACTGTGATACATAGAAGACATTGAGACATGGGGACATGAGGGGACACTGGGACACATGGGGCACTGAAACACTTTGATACATAGGGGACACAGGCACTAGGGGATACTGGGAGACATGAGGACACTGGAAGACTAGGGGACACTAAGACACTGGGAGACAGGGAGACACTGGTAACAATCCATCTTTTATTCAGCAGAATAAATGTGAGTAGTATTTGGTGATTTTACAGAATTTTCTTCTAGGTCACTCCTTGTAATTTACACGCATACATAATTAATTATGCAAATTAGTAAGGCCGGTATTTTTTTCCAAGAAAGGTGGCAAGCCTAACTATCCTTCACATACTCTTGCTTAAGCATGGAATCTTTAGAGGGATGTATGGGAACAAAACGTGTGCGGACGGGCTGACAATGAAATTAGTTAAGGTAAAGCTGACTTTGTGCACAATGCAAATGATCTTGCTGCTTCAGTCTCTCTAACACTGTGACATGTTCCTTTTCTTCTACACTCACTACATGCAGCTGTTCTCTGTCCCAGACTATATACCAGGAGCTTCTGCCTGCTAGTAAGGAGGTTAGGAGAGGAATGGACCAGCGAGTGCTAGGGGACAGTCCTTAGAAATCGTGGCGCAAATTCATCGTTGGACACATTTCTGCCAAGCTCATAGTTTGCCCTTAGTTGGCCAGCCTGCATGATTGGCAGGCAGCCTGACATGCATTCATGCCAGGCTGGCCTTCCAATTCTTTAGGCAGACACACCCGCTTTTTAAGGCATGTTCGCCTCTTTCGGCAGTTCTGATTACATGATTTGCGTCAGTGGCGCACCCTTTTACCCCGTCCTGCTTCACTGGACACTGCTGTTAGGGGTATGGATTTACTTGAAAAATAAAAACAAAAATTAGAGAAGGATTAGCATAGAGTGTGTGTTTTCTCATAGCTGCACCCTATGAATTTCCCTTCAGCACCACTTCCGCCAGATACATGACGATTGGTAGGTATAACTGTTTTAGTGTTTTTGGTCAATAAGATTCTGTAATTAGGCCCATCATAATTGTCAGCACCAGGCCCACTGGGCTCTAATTCTGGCCCTGAGTGCCGATAAATGGTAGGCCCCGGTTCTGTGTTTCAGCTTGGCCGGCTGCGGGATGTACATAAAAGGCCTCTAGGGATGCAGCGAGAGTACCACAATCAGAACCTGAGATTTTTAGGGCTGGATGGTGGTTGCAAGCGGCGGGAGTACAGTGGATTTCTCTGCAAGGTCGGGATCAACCAGAAATGGAATCTTGTCTGTCTCACCGTCAGGCTCTGCTCCCCACCTCTAAGAAGGGCTTCTAATTTTATTTTGCTCATTTAGAACTAAAAATTAGCAAGTTACTCCCCTGCTTGAACGCAGAATGTATTTGGTAAAGTGATTGAAACAAATATAATCCACTTTGCAAGAATGTCAGTTGAGTTCAGCAGAAAGTCAATCACTTGTCATCTCCAAGCAGTAACAATGAAAGATTACATTCGATGGTGTCCTTAAGGTAGAGAGAGACAATGCTATGTTTCAAAACAGAAGAAAAGAAGAAAGTGATGCAGGAAAATGAAGTCTGACATTAAAGATTCATGCTGAAGTAAATCTTTAAATAATTCATTTTTAGTAGAGGAATACATATTTTTCCATTGACACAAACGCTTTCAGCTGCAGTGCTTAAAGGTACAGTGACAGCAATCATAAAGTACATCTGAAAGATGGGGGAGTCAACGTTGGTAGGTAAGATTGTAGGATAGAGGAGAAGTGCCAAAGGGGTGGACGTACCATGACGTTAGAAAAGCAAAAAAACTCATGCAGTACTGAGTGACAGCCTCTCTATCACCTATCACAGCTATACTGAGCACTTACATTACAGTAGAGGAGGTACAGTAAGTGCAGTAGTAATACAGTGTATAAATATTTTATTTATATAACACTAACAGGTGTTCTGAGCACTTTACAGGTTGTTACACTGTAGGTGTGTACAGTAAGTGCATGATAGGTATACAATGTATGTATATTTTATATAACACTAATAGGTGTACAGAGCACCTTACATGTTTCATTACAGCAGATGAGTTACACTAAGTGCAGCAGTTATTTTGTGTATGACTATTTCATTTATATAGCGCTAGCAGGTGTACTGAGCACTTTACAGGTTGTTACACTATAGGTGTGTACAGTAAGTGCATAGGTATACAATGTATGTATATTTTATATAACACTAATAGGTGTACAGAGCACCTTACATGTTTCATTACAGCAGATGAGTTACACTAAGTGCAGCAGTTATTTTGTGTATGACTATTTCATTTATATAGCGCTAGCAGGTGTACTGAGCACTTTACAGGTTGTTACACTATAGGTGTGTACAGTAAGTGCATAGGTATACAATGTATGTATATTTTATATAACACTAATAGGTGTACAGAGCACCTTACATGTTTCATTACAGCAGATGAGTTACACTAAGTGCAGCAGTTATTTTGTGTATGACTATTTCATTTATATAGCGCTAGCAGGTGTACTGAGCACTTTACAGGTTACATTCTAGTGTGTTGGTTGGGGGGAGGGGGGGTTTACAGTAAGTGTGCATAATTATTTTGTGTATGAATATTTTATTTATTTAGCTCTAATAGAGCTACTGGGAACTTTACATCTTACATTCCAGTATAGGGAGATACAGTGAATGCAGTAGGTATAAAGTTGTGTATATTTTAATTAAAAACGCTCCACATGTTACATTACAGAACAGGGAAAGCACACCAAGTGCAGTAATCCTGCTTTGTATGCTTACTTATATTGCGATAACACTGTTCTCCGATTACTTAACATAATGAAAAACAACTCAGTAGAATGTCTATTTGAATATGCAACATATTGAGTATTAATTGTGACCCTACAATTCAGCAGTCACAAGTGAATCTATTTTCTGTGTTCCATATACGCAAAATTATTATGGTCTTTTTTGTTTTTATTTTTGCTCTTTTACTTTTATACATCACATTAATCACAGTGGGTATGTTAGTCCTGGCTAACAGCCGGGGGTCTTGTGACCCTGAGGATGTCTCCTGTAAAGTCCTATTTATAACTTCACGTTGACTTCAGGACTCCATGTCAAGAGCAGGAAGAGTGATAGAGACTCGCAGGCCCTGAAAACACACGCCTCTCCAGTAATAACAGAAGGTAAAGCAACAGGGTATTGTCAGTGTTAAGCTATGGGAAATCCTGGGGAAAAACTGGGAAAACAGGTTGTAGTTCAACAATTGTCACAAAGGCTTGAACTTGTGGGACGTTTTTTAACCTCTTTGCTCTTAAGAAATCCAGTGCTGTATACGTCCTCCCCTTGTGTGTCTCAATTAAATAGCATTTTGTGCCTCTGTGAGTATATTAAAACATGTAAACTTATTGATTAAAGTTCAGTTTCAGATATTTTAGGTGAGAATTTGCAGTAAAGCTTTAGTTCTTAGTATTTTTGTCTTCAGATATTCATATCTCATTTCTCCAGCCATTTCAGAGTTAGTACCTATTTTAGCAGGATTACTGCGCAGCCAAACAATAGCAACATGGGTTAGTGCTGGATAGACTGATACTGTCAAACACTGGATCTCCAAGGTACCCCAACAGACCTGGATTTAGGTATTTCTCAGGTCTGTTTCTAACAAAACCTGGATTGTTGATGTATCTTGAGGACTGGTTTGGGAACTACTGGGTTGCAGATAAGTTATTTTAGGGTTGCTTGGAAATGGACTACAACATTTTTTGTAAGTCTCTAACTAGGTGAGACCTACACAAGCTTCTTTATATGACATCCAGGGGAATGTAAATAGAGGTTGCATAGGATACACCAGTGGAATTGTCACGATACATGTTGGACGCTGTCGGACCGCAGGTTGCCAGGCTGAATGCTCTGTTCAGCCGCACAGAATGTCTCCGCACAGACATGTGGAAGGAGGAAATACTTGCCTGTTGCACCGCTCTCATACAGGGCCGCTCGGCCGTAACAATTCGGATGCTACCCGCTCGAATGGTACGTCCTTGCATAAAAATAAATAACGCAACGTCACATCCAGGGCCGGTGCAAGGATATTTGCCGCCCTAGGCAAAAGAAAAATTGTGTGTGTTTACATTAAAAAGCCTAGAGGGACAGGCTATAGACACCAGAACCACTTTTGTCTATTTGAATATGCAGTGATTCTGGGGACTATAGTGTCCCTTTAATATAAGGTAAATTAGAGATTAGTGTCACTAATAATATACTAGATTGCCTACTTACAACCAGATGAGGATGGTGATGGGCTCTGGCTGCAGTTTGGCTCCACTGATCTGGTGTAGAACATCTCTGGAGGCTGTTTGTAACTGTGGTCACAAAATTCAATGTTCTGGGAGAACGGGAAGCAGCTCAATTTTGTTGGGCCCCTTACACAGCTCTTACACTGCTGGGCCCAAGGGCCTGATGGTGAGTATGCCCATAAGGCCCACCCATAAGTTCACCTACATGTTCCACCCATGAGTTCGCTCACAATGAGTGGAGTGTGTAGGGGATGTGTTATGTGTTATTATAGAGGATCTAATGTGTGTGCTTATTGAATGTAGTGTATAGGGATACCAGTTTGTGTAGGTAATGCAATGCGTTTGTGTGCAGTGGAAGCAGTGTGTTTTTGTGTAAGGGATGTATTGTGTGTTTCTGGTTATGTGTAAGGGAATGCATTGTGTGAATCTGTGTATGCAAGGGATGAAGTGTGTGTGTCTGTAAGGGGTGCATTGAGTGTATGTAAGAGATGCATTGTGTTTCTGTGTATATGTAAGAGAAGCAGTGTGTGTTTGCATGTGTGTAAAGGATGCATTGTGTGTTTCTGTGTATGTGTGCAAAGGATGCAGTCTTTATGTGTAAGGGTTGCATTGTGTGTGTGTAATGGATGCATTGTGTGTTTCTCTGTGTGTAAGTGAAGCATGTTGTGTTTCTGTGTGTGCGCACATAGTGTGAAAGAGCTCCCTGTCCTGCCCCATGTCCTATAGAGCTCTCCCTTCCATCCCTTAGAGCTCCCCCGGCCCCTTAGTGGTCTCTCCACCCCATCACCCTCCCCTAGCAGTCTCTTCTCACACCCCCGTGTTCTCCTCACCCCCCTCCCTGTGATCTCATCTCCCCTTCTTCTCACCTCCCCCCTCCCTGTGTTCTCCTCACCTCCCCCTCCCTCTGTTCTCCTCACCCCCCGTGTTCTTCTCACCTCCTCCCTCCATGTGTTCCCCTTACCCCCCTCCCTGTGTTTTCCTCACTCCCTCACCCTCCCTGTGTTCTTCTCACTCCTCCCGTGTTCTTCTCACTCCCCCCTTCCCTGTGTTCTTCTCACAACCCCCCGTGTTCTTCTCACTCCCCCCGTGTTCTACTCACGCCCCCTCCCTCTGTTCTCCTATCTCCCTTCTCCCTCACCCCTCCCTGTGTTTTCCTCACTCTCCCACCCTCCCTGTGTTCTTCTCTCACTTCCCCTCCCTGTGTTCTTTTCCTCTCACAACCTCTTATGTTTTTCTCTCACAACACCCCTGTGTTCTTCTCACTCCCTCCCTGTGTTCTTCTCATGTCCCCCCTCCCTGTGTTCTCCTTATCTCCCCTTCTCCTCACCCCTGTCCCTGTATTCTTCTCACCCCCCCGTGTTCTTCTCACTCCCCACATGTTATTCTCATCCCCCTCCCTGTGTTTTTCTCACTCTCCCCCATGTTCTTCTCCCCTCCCCTATGTTCTTCTTACTCCTCCCCCTATGTTCTTCTTACTCCCCTCTCCCTATGTTCTTCTTACTCCCCCGTGTTCTTCTCACCCCCCATGTTCTTCTCACTACCCCCCCCCTCCTGTGATTTCTTCTCACCACCCTCTCCCTGTGTTCTTCTCATCCCCACCCTCCCTGTGTTCTTCTCACTCCCCCCCTGTGTTCTTCTCACCACCCACCCTCCCTGTGTTCTTCTCATTCCTCCCTCCATGTTCTTCTTACTCCTCCACCCATGGCTCTTCCCCCGTGTTCTTCTCACCCCTCCTGTGTTCTTCTTATCCCCCCCCCCATGTTCTTTTCCCCTTCCCTGTGTAGCGTAGGTGGCCGAGCTTCTCTCCGGTCCGCAGTACAGGAGCTTCTGTTTCCTGTACCTGGCCGGACTGACAGGAAGTGCACACTGAGTGTGCACTTCCTATCAGTCCATCTGGCCGGGTAAAGGAAACGTCAAACACATAGGCGAAAGAATACAACCTCTGTAGCAGATGGCACCAGGCGACCCTACAAGAAATACTGTATAAAGCTGCAGACGTGTATCTGCTGTAATTTCTGTGTATTTAAAAAGAATTGTATTCCTCTGATTGTTCGGTAGTTTCATTCCCTTAGTTTATTCGAATGAAACTACCGAACAACCAGACCTCCCTGTGTGAAGTGTGTCCTCAATTACCAGTTGCAACATTGTTGCGAACGGGTAATTGAACAGTAAGTAGCCGTCCTTGGTTCTCGGGGGTGGCCGCCATTCGACAAACGAACACGTGGCGGCGGCCATTTTAAAACTCCCGAACAGCGGTGCTTTGCCGTCGAGTGCCTGGAACTAAAATCGGACACTCGAGTAGGCGAACACCGCTGAGACCTCCACAGCCCTGGTCCGTTCGGTTCCAAACTACCGAGCGGCCCCTCGTTCGGTAAATAGAGAATACCGAACGAGGGGATTCAGGCGAACCCTCCCTAGCCTCTATAGCTAGAGGCTTTCGTGTATTTATTCCCTTATGCCAGGACCGACCGCAAGGCCCATTCACATGGAACCGAATTCGGCTATCTCTGTTCGTGCGGTCGGTCATTTTATTCCCTCCATACTTTTCCCGAACTCCTGGTCCGATTTGGGTGATTTTTGGATATGTTGTTCACCCAGATCAGGGCTATCAGGGGGTGTAGGATTTAAAGGGGTACCCCTACGTTTAGGGGTACATCCAGAAACGGGGGGGAATTGGTGTGCTGGATAAGGGGATTATGATGCTGGCTGAGGGGAGGGGATGTGTGGGAGGTTACCAGGACAGGATTAGCTACTGTAATAATTACTGTAAATCCCTCCCTTGCATGGGAGCATGCTTTATAAGGAGACTGTGATTAAAGGCTTGTCAGTTATGCTCCTGAAACTGTGTGTCGTCCAGTTATTGGGATTGCTGTTGGGATATTGCTGTATTTTACCTGCTGGAAACCCTGCCTTTGGATTTACTATTTACTTGTTCCTGAGTCTCACTTGGATTATAAGCGGAGATAACCTGGGTAATATTGCATCTCCGCTACACTCACTACCATAGATTTGTGTAAGGGATACTGGCAAATTCCACTAGCCGAGGACGCCATCCCTAAGTCGGCGTTTGTCACCCCGTTTGGCTTGTACCAATTTCGAGTCATGCCATTCGGGATGAAGAACGCCCCCGCGACCTTCCAGCGGATGGTGGATCGGCTACTGGACGGGTTCCAGGACTATGCATGTGCATATCTGGACGATATTGCCATATACAGTCAGACCTGGTCGGAGCACTTACAACACATAGGGGCTGTAATAGATCGGATCCGAGAGGCAGGGCTTACCTTGAAACCCAGCAAATGCCACATAGGGATGGCAGAGGTCCAGTACTTAGGACACCGGGTTGGTAGCGGGCAGCAGAAGCCCGAGCCCGCAAAGATTGAAGCTGTAGCCCAGTGGCCTACCCCTAGGACCAAAACCCAAGTCCTGGCTTTCCTAGGTACCGCAGGGTACTACAGAAAATTTGTACCCAACTCCATGAGTGCCCTGGCCAAACCCCTGACTGATTTGACGAAGAAAAACCTGCCCCGGCAGGTCGTCTGGGCCCCAGAGTGTGAACAGGCATTCCATCAGCTGAAGACGGCTCTGACCAATGCCCCTGTACTGGCTGCTCCTGATCCAACTAAACGTTTTCTTGTTCACACAGACGCCTCAATGTTTGGATTGGGAGCAGTACTGAGCCAGGTCGGAGCCGATGGCGGAGAACACCCTGTAGCATACTTGAGTCGGAAACTGTTACCCCGAGAGGTGAGCTACGCCGCCATAGAAAAGGAATGCCTGGCCATGGTGTGGGCCCTGAAAAAGTTACAGCCATATCTCTATGGGCAACCCTTTTCTTTGCTCACAGATCACAACCCGTTGGTGTGGCTAAACCATGTGGCTGGAGACAATGCCAGGCTGCTGCGCTGGAGTTTGGCGCTGCAGCCCTTTGACTTTACAATTCACTACCGCCCAGGGAAACAAAACGGTAATGCCGACGGGTTGTCCAGACAAACAGACCTTGAGAAATGATCTGTGAGCACTCCTCCGGACATCCCCAAGCCGATCCGCTGGGATCAGACTGTGTATGCCGGCTTGGTTCTGGGGGAGCA